GGGAAGACGCTGTCCGCCGCTGCATCGAGGCGGTTTCTGCTTCGGTACGCGAAGTATAAGTGCGTGGTGGCGCGCGGCAACGAAGGTCGGGTGGTGCAAAGGCAACCTACGTCGACATCCGAGTTGGTGCTGGTGCATACCCGCAAGTGCTTGTCTTCCCTGTACTTAAAGACAAGAAAAACCTGACGGAGGCACAGCTGCTGTNGGAGATGGCAGGGCGAGGCAGAAGTGCTGGACGCGGCGGCAGTGCCGCGGGTGGCGACACGAGTCCCACTCGGGTGAGTGTGAGCGAGGTGGTGCTCGGCTCCACCCAGAAGCCGCCCGAGTATGGGAAGACGCTGTCCGCCGCTGCATCGAGGCGGTTTCTGCTTCGGTACGCGAAGTATAAGTGCGTGGTGGCGCGCGGCAACGAAGGTCGGGTGGTGCAAAGGCAACCTACGTCGACATCCGAGTTGGTGCTGGTGCATACCCGCAAGTGCTTGTCTTCCCTGTACTTAAAGACAAGAAAAACCTGACGGAGGCACAGCTGCTGTAAGGTCTGTCGCTCAACGCCGAAATTTCGGGAGAGGCTTTGGTTGAGCCAGCCGAGGCGAAGGCGGGTGTGACCCGCGCGGCTACCATGAAGCCGGGCGCTTCGGTGCTGGAACGTGTGTATGCTGTTCATAGCGCGTTGGAATACTACCTGGCAGAGAAGCCGAATGTGGCGCGGCTGTACCGCGACGCCGACGACGAATGGCTCGAAGAGTCGGCGCACGTAGTCAGCAAGGCTCTGGTGAAAGCAATTTCGCCTCCAGAATTTAAGGCAGATGTCGAGAGCTCTCTGGAGCTCCAAGGAAACTGGAAGAAGGATCCTCGGTGTGTGTTAGCTGCCATGATCAAGGAGGCAACCGACTGGAAGAAGATAGAGAAAGTCGACGCGGAGCGTAAAGCCCGTGGCGGAGGTCGCGCTGCTGGGGAGAAGTCTGACAAGGCGACTCGCGGTGGCGCGTCTGGCAAGCCAAGGGGACCGCGTTTCGGCGATGGGCAAGGTGGCAAGTCCGGCTCTTCGGGGAATTGCTAAATATGCGACAAGCCAGGCCATTTCGCACGAGACTGCAAGAAGGCCTCGACTGAGAAGTCTGGGGGCAAGCCTGCGCCGGCGGCGGCAGGGTCTAGAAAGTCACGAGCGCGACCTCGTCAGCAGCAGCAGACGGGTCCGCAGCGAGCAGGTCAGCAGCCGGGATCAATCGTCCAAGTTAGGGCCGCTTTTTCGGAGGAGCAGAAGCAAGGCGAGGGCGATGGCGTGGCAGCGTCACTTCCCCCGTCGCCTGTTCCCGTTCAAGGGACTACTGCGTCGCCTGACGCTATGACGGTTCCAGCGTGGCGGTCCCAGACCATGGACGGCGTCGCGAGCCTGCACGCCGAAGGAGTCGACGTGGATCGCACTGGTACGTGGTGTTTGGCTGATTTGTCTGCCCCGGAAGAAATTGAGTCTACGGTGTGCCCGGTGCGGGAGGTGTTGGACACTGGGTCAGCTGCGACGTCAATGTCTGTGCGCGTCGCGCGTAAGCTACAAGCATGCTTTCCTGGTGTTCCGATCACGCATCCTATGGAGGGTGCGCATCATGTGCGGATGGCAGACGGCAGTTTTGTGCCTAAAACCAAAACGACATGTCCGTTGCGGTTGGCTTTGCACACGGAGTGGGGCCGGTGGTGTTGGAGCCAGTCCGTTTTTCCGTCATGCCTGGTGAGGACGACACGATCCTCCTTGAAGGAACAACCCTGAATAAGTTGGGGATAGACGTATACGGCAGTCTTGTCGCTCACGTGCGGCAGAAGGCTGTCACCTCCGTAAAGGTGGTGGAGAACCCGGCGTTCCATGAACGCTGTGGCGGTAGAGGCGCTGCAGCACAACAACGAAGAAGAACCGGTGGACGTTCATGATGAAGCGGTGACTCGGGCGTTGTCTCGAGGGCCCAACATGTCTGTGGCCCCGGAAGAAGAGGATGTCCAGCGCAAGGTAGCTCTGGATCACGCGTTTCAACAGGCCGCGGGAACGGCTTGTCGTCGGCGGTGACACGTCTGAAAGAGATCCTTGGAAGGCGGTTTAGCGCGTTTCGTCGGGCGCTCCGCGGGGACCCTGCGGCGAAGGTGGAGCCACTGAAGGTGACGCTCAAGCCTGGGGCGCAACCTGTCAGAACGAAGGCGCGTGTTTACTCTCCCGCAAAGCTACGTGGCTGACTGGATGCATGGCGGCTCTGGTTGCCATGGGTATGCTCGTGAAGACTGTTCAGGTGGTGTGGGCGAGCCCGGCCATGGCGGTGCCCAAGCCAGGCCGTGCGGGTGAGTATCGCTTGTTAGTGACTACTCGCGCGCGAATCTACAATGCGAAAAGGTGCCAAACGTCATGCCCAGCCAGGAGGCGCAGATGTCCATGTTACAGGGCGCGAAGTGTTTCGGGAAACGTGATATGTTGCAAGGGTATTGTAGAATGCATGGTGACAGAAATTGTGCGATGTTTGAAGGCGGTGCTGCAAGAAGAAAGGCGCGACTTGCGCGAGTGGGTAGATTTGGTCCCGGCTGTACAGTGGGCACTGAATACCGCCTATCGTCAACGTTACGCGAGCACACCGTATTATGTCATGTTTGGTAGGGCACCGCAAACTATTTATTCCACGCTAGCGTCCGCGACTGGAGAAGACTGGCAAATTGACGTGCCAGATGACGAAGGGCTGAAACGAAAGGTGATTAATGTAGTGGCTGTTCAACAGGAAATGCATAAACGCGTGCAGGGAATGGTCAAACAGAATCGTGAAAATCAACGGGAGCATGCTAGTCGAGGCGAGCTACCTAGTTTTGCGGTTGGTGATTTCGTACTCAGGGCGCGGGTGCGTAGACCGGGTTCGACGTCGAAACTCATGATGACATGGACAGATCCATGGAAAGTGGTCGAGGCTGAGAGTAAGCATGTACACGGAGTGCAAGACATCGTTTCAGGAGACGTACACGACGTGCATGTAGCTCGACTAAGGTTTTTTTCGGATAGCGAGTTGGAAGTGACTTCCGAGTTGAAGCATGTTTTTCAGCATGCATAAACACAGGGCGAGTTCACGATGTCTGCTATTGTAGGCATTGGTGAAAATCCTAACGAGGACGGGAAATACAAGTCAAGGTAGAATGCGTCGCATTCGAGGTCGTTGAAAGTACTTAGAAGCCGTTGGAAAAGATATGGAAAGATGCTCCGCAATTTGTAAGGTTGGAGTTGCGTAAGATGGGTCTGGACCAAGGCGTTCGCGTGCGACGTGTATGAAGAGGAATGGCGTGACTTCGACGATAAACATGTGGCTTGCCTCGTCGAGGTCAGTCCTGAATAATGAAGAGTTGTGCGGTGTGTCAACCAACGGTCTTGCATATCTGAGGTTAGAAAACTGACACGAGGGCTCCTCAGAGCACAAACGAACTCCCTCGATTGGACGAGGGTTCCACAAGAAGCAATAGCAGCAGCAGCAGCATTGCTGCCGCTGAGCTGATGATGATGAGAGCTAAACAGCGCTCCCATCCATCCCCTGACTGACTGGTGGTATCGGGTGAGGTGTGAGCGCGCGCACTGGTGACCTACGTGGTGGCGTAGGCTCCATCCATATCTATCTACGATTGCTTTGATGTCCCTCTCCGACCCTACTTTTCGCGCTTCGCGCGAAATATATACATATTTTGTTGGACCCCTGTGTATGGGTGCTCTGCCCCATGATTGTGGGGACAAACGCCTGTCAAGCACGTCCATCTGGTGTCGGAGCGCGACGGGTGTGACGAAGAGTGCCCTAATTTGTTTCCTCCTTGCAAGCCAGCAGATCGTAAATCGGTGCTCCATAGACGTGGTTCTGGTCGAACAAAGGCGAACATTTTCGGGCGGTCCTATTCGATAAAGGCTGACCATTTGACTACGTGCACTGTGCACGTAGTCAAATGGTCAGCCTTTATCCAATAAAAGATACACTCTCGGCTCGTAGCCAATCCCAGTGGATCTGATAGGGTGTAGTGATCTCCGGGGGCGGACCCCTCTGCACAAGATGCTGCTATTAGCCGATAATGGTGCCTTGAAAGCGATCCACTGGGATTCGAACCCGTGCGTGAATCCTTTACTTGATAAAGGCTGACCATTAGACTACGTGCATAGTCATCAAGGCTGACCATTTGACTACGTGCACAGTCATCAATGACTGTGCACGTAGTCAAATGGTCAGCCTTTATCCAATAGGTCCAACCTATGATTAGGGGGAAAATCTCAAAAGAGGGCTCCTACATCGCGATGGTTAAAAGAATCCATATGGAAGTATACACCGCTGCTCTGCCGCTGCTGTTAAGTCCTTTTTTCCCTCCTAGAGATGAAGGGAAAAAATGTCGCGCTTCGCGCTCCGCGGCTCAATATACATGTAATGGATTCCACGCAGTACTCGCGTCAGTCGACTCTGGTTGTACGGGTGCGTTGCGCAGCCGCAGCTCACCTTCGCCGGGCAGCCTGTCCATGAAGACATCATCTATGGCGTCTAGAGACTCTTCCAGTGAAGGCTCTGTGAACTCCATCCCGCCTTCCCCTTGCCTAGGATCGCTCATGAACGCGGACACCACCCTTCGTCTCGTTGGCGGAACACGTCGACGAGTCCATGCAGCGGCAGCAGCGTGAACATGTAGGTTGCTTTGGTGGAAAGCTGGCAGAGTGCTGGACGTGCTGAGGTGGGACCTAGCCATGACCTTCGCCTCGCTTCTCGATAGCTAACAGGCCAGTGGTCAGCGAGCAGTCTCCAGGATGCTCTCGTGCGGCAAATCAATCCCTCCACTATCCCTGAGTCTGTGCTGCCGCCAACACCTGATGTAACCCCGCTACCTGCAGACGAGGGCGTCGAGAGAACCAAATGTTTTGCAGTATAGTTCGGCGAAGAACCAGTTCTAACTTTTCGGCCTCGGATCGGAGCTCGGAAGCCCGGAGGAGCCTCGTGCGTGTGGCGTGTGGTTCTGACCTCGGAGCTCGGAGCTCGGAGCTCGGAGCCCAGAGCCCAGAGTCTGACGCAACATGCTGAGAGAGTTGGCCACACACAGGTAGTGCCAGCAGAGGTAGTGGGCGTGCTCCGTAAGCGTTCGCACCACACTTGGCAAGATCGGCAAGTTGGACCGCCTCCCCGTCAGGAAGGGGCGAGACAACAATTTGTTTGGTTTCGAGAGAGCAGGCATATCCCCATAACCCCTCACTCCTCGTGTCTATCCCAATTTAACATCGGACTTGTCCGATCCGAGGGCGGAGGAACTCCCGCTCCTCGTCTGGTCTTCTTCCGGTTTTAAGTTGCACGGCAGGGCGCCAGGGCGTGTCCAAGGGAGGCAACCTACAGAGGAGTACATTGTCTAGTCACCGATCCTATACCGTGAGGATTTTTACAGGGAGGACCAGTTGGAGAGAAGGCAGGTTCGACTTAATGAGGCATACCGCGGCATTCGTGTGGCTGGCTTGCGCTTGCGGCCTGGAGCAGCGCTTCTCGGCGGCAGCAGCAGCAGCAGCAGCAGCAGCAGCAGCAGCAGCAGGCTCATCAGGCAGCACGAACACCCACAACCAAGAAGGGGTGCCCTTGGCGCAGAGAGTGTCAGCTACTCCGACGACCGAACGGGGGCCTTTAGGCCTCAGCTTGAAAGGAAATGCGGGAGTATCCGCATCGAGAACACCCGGTGTTATAACGCATCGAAACACGGGCGCTGCGGAGGGTGAAGGTGAAGAATCTCATGTTGGGGAGGGAAAGGGGGAGGGTAGGGGAGAGGGGGACAACAACGCGCCTGAGCTACATGGGTCACTGGAGGAAACGCAACAAGATCCGGTACTTCCTGAGGAGGAGGAGGAGGAGGCGGAGGAGGGTAGCGGTCCTATTGCAGAGATAGAGGGGATGGACGAGCACTGGACGCAGCACGCTTCTGTGGCGCAGCCACCTGGTGCAGTGTTGGAAAACGCCCGCTCAGTGTACTCGGAGATCTCCACCGAAATTCTGGTGCGTACCGGGGGTTCAGGATGCCATGCCTGAGACGGATGAATCGTGGGCGGCTTTGGTGCATGGGAAAGATTGTTTTATTTCCCAGCTTGGTGACAGCAGTCTTTTAGCGCGGCACACATGCACGCGCTCAAGCACCAAGCTGGGTGTTCATGTCGCAACATGGCCTCTGTTAGACTGTTCTGTATGCAAACAGCTGGTGCTCAACAAAAAGCAGTCCGTCCAGCTTGCAATATACCGTCGTAGGTGGCAGGAAATCCGCGAGCGAGGGATGCAGTACTGCGTTCTTACGTTGCAACTAGCGGCCTTGGATTTCAGGTTTAGGCTCATGGTGGGTACAGCAGTACAGCAGAAACATACTTTCGCCGCCCCATCACTCTCCCACTCCACCCAAGCTTGACGTGACAGCGGGACTAATGTTGCTGGACGATCGTACGCATGCGCCTGTTGGCCGAACGGAAACTGAGCAGACGAGGTGGGGTTACAAGTACGCCAACACGCCACTGTTCTCCGGAGGGATGAAGTTCTCGGACGGGGGCAAGGTCGTAGAGAACAAGATGCTCAACGCTGTTGTTGAGCAAGAGGGCTTCCTCGCGGCCTTCACAGGCGAGGAACGCGTGACGTAGGTCTTGCGTTTCACATCCCGTGCGGTTTTTGGCCTACTTGTGTCCTTTCTGGTGGAAATCAATTGTCCGAGCTACGGCGACGAACATGAGTAGCACTTAAAACGCGCGTTACGCGGTGAGGCCCTTGTTCCATGAATGCGCGTGTTTTTGTCGCTTTGAAGCACCGTGTCCAGTTGCACCCGGATTTCGTGCGGAGCAGCTGAATCATTTTTCTTCGGCTGTTTTTTTAGCGACTATCGGACTGCCATTTTTTTGTCACAGGAGTCTCCACAACAGCCGGGCACGACTGCCTATTCGAGCAGAGCTACCCCGTTCTGCTCAACGAAACGTTCGGCAGGCTTATGGCCGCGACGGGCGTGAAGTTCGAGGCGATCAACGTGGCCATGGGGAACACGCGCGTGGCACCCTATAGGTGCGTGTGTCCATCAAAATGTGTCCTGTGTTTGAGAGAGTGAAGCATGCAATTCTTGCCAGTGCCGGCGTTCTGTCATTTAACGCGATGTTCGTGCGAAAAGAGCCTTCGAAAAAGAAGTAATCAAATTACCAAATACACGCACGGCCCGCCTTCCCTCACAGCTACTGCGTGGAAGCACACGCGGGTCTTGAGGCGGACCTCATATCGTGGGATATGACATTGATGGTCGTTAGCAACGAGTGCGGGAAGGCCGCCGCGGGCATCGAACTGTTTCTCAGAAGCGCCACCGTCCTTCCCAAACGTCCGGTCGTGCTCCTGATGGATGCAACGCCCAACCAGGTACGCCGTGTCTTACTATTCCTGCGGTCATCTGTGCCGGACAACCTACGAGAGTGTTCTATTTTAGGTAGTCATTCGCCATGAACCGCGAAGCACACCCGCGCCGGCCGACGGCCCCCTAGAGTGCGTGAGACAGCAGTGAATCGTAGAAACTTAGCCCTTGATTGTCGACAACGTCCTTGGACGACGCAGCCACTAACACGCCCATCCTTTATGTTTGCACCGGATGCAGGACGTATGCACTAGTGGACATTTGCGCCAGATCAAACGCCTAGACGACGGGTGAGATGGAGTTGGCGAAGAGCGGGCTTACCGGCGGGCGGAGCTGAGGGGGTTGCAGCTGTTTTGAGGGCATCGTGAAATGCTTGGTGGTACTTTTGTCGAGGCTCTGCCAGGCCTCGGCGTCACAAATGGTGGCATGAGGCACTGACGCTTCAGTCCTTCCTCGCGTGATGTCGAATCCACCGCCTCTCCCCCTGAGGTAACCATGGGGAATATCCATACATTTTCCTTTCCTTCGTGCGGCTTTCTCCTACCGATCCCATCTCCGCGTTCCCCTTGCTTTGCCCTCTGTTGCATGTTTTCCAAAATTGAAGCCTCACGGGGGCTTGCATCCCTAGCCGTGATCTTGCGCTCGTGTACCGTGAGTTTGGGCTTCACCAGATGTCGCCTAGGTCCCTTGTTCCCGAGATCACGTGCGGGGACGAAATGTTTGCGCACGAACGCCTCTTCAACGTCACGGAGAAGGACTTTCCGCGCCCCGTGGGGTAAGCTACATGTAGGTCCTGCACGAGCGAACCGAATCAAGCGCTGCTCCCATCACTTCGTCTGTGTGTGTGGTCGAGGGAGTCATCCAGTAGGCGTAGCGAGGACACTTGGCATGTGGGTTGCAAGCCTCCGTGGCGCGGCTAGGCGTTGTCGGTCTAAGTGCACCCCCGATGGCGTGAAACAGAGCGCATGCCACGCGTCTGCTTGTTGACCCGTTCCCGCACGAGGAAGAACACCAAAGTTGGTTGACGATGGTTGTTTATCTTAGTAATTCTTGGACGGGTCTTCAATGCCCCCTTTTTTCGGCCCGGCGGCTATGAACGCCAAGCCCCGAGGCAAGCGAGCACTCCCAGTAAACCCCCCCTTCCCGCCCCCTGCCATGCACACCCCCCCCCCCCCCCCCCNTGCACACCCCCCCCGCCCCCCGCCCGCCTCCTGCCATTGTGCGTTTTCAACCGGCGCATCGCTCACGAACACACGCGCGTGTGTGCGACCGCCCTTGGTGTTCGTCGCCCGACGGCGACGCTATGACGAATCCACGCGTTTTATTCAGCTGGCACGCGGGACCTACCGGGCACCTACTTGTCGCCGATATGCTCTTCATGGCGTACGCCGAGGTGTTCCTGCGCGCGCTCGAGCGGCTGAACGGGGTCAAGCCAGGCATCACGGCCGCCGGCCTACGACAGCTAGACGCTCTCTCTGCCAATGGCAGGCTGAAGCTCAGGGAGTCCCTCGGTTTGGGTGGTGGGGGCGCGACCGATATCCCTCCTGATCCTCATGGAGAAGCGACCGCCGCAGACAGCCGAAGCGACAGCAACAACTATCCTGCTTTCATGGGCGGAGGGCGGGGGGACATCCTCCCCCCTCCGTCGTGGTGCAAAGACTATAGGTTTTGCCAAGGGGCCGGCAGCTACAGGTGTGCCAACACGTACTCCCCGCTGGCGGGCAAGAACGGGTCGAGACTGTTGGACATGGTGTCGGAGAACACCCCGGTGGTTCTGAACCGGAACAGATCGGAGTACTTCGTGGAGCCCTCCCAAGGGCACTGGGCGGTAACGCTCAACGAGGAAGCGCAGAGCATCAAGGACTACCTGAAAGTTTCGCCGCCGAGGGGTTTTCACCACCCGATCGATCACAAGTGGGTTCTCGTCGGTGATGCGGCGGCGGGGCCCATCGAGTTCGAGTTCGAGACTCTCGGGATCCCTCCGGCGGGGAGACATAGGCAACGGCGAGTAGAGGTGGAAGAAGGAGAAGAACAAGAGGATGCTCACACGTTTAGAAGTAGTGCCAGGCGGGAAGAACCCGCGTCGGAGAGTCCCGGCACAAACGAAGAGTTTAGCAATAGCGCCGGCGTTGACGCCACAAAGACGAGGCCGTCGGAGGACGTCACGGACTTCGACTCGCGGGTGACGGTCTGCAAGCCGGACTTCATCGACCGCGTCCAGTTCAACGAAACCTCGGGGGTCAGGTTCAGCGTCGATGGGATCCAAGTGGAAACTACTGTGGAGCTGGTCCAAGTCGGCCTTCACGCGCAATCCTGTGCTCTTCTAGATGTGGCAGTGGGGGTAGGCCGTCACACTGTGAAGGTGGAACCGCTCAAGGAAGGGGAACCCTATGTGGCGATCTCCCATCTTTTGTATCCAGCGTGACCCGAAGCCGGAGGGCTGTACACCCTACAGTGACCCCAAGGACGCCTCACTACATAACAAGCATGTATAATGAACAATTTGCTGTCCGATAGGAGGGCGTGGGTGGGGGGTTGGCGGTGAGACAGACTGCCCGCCCGATCGATCATCTGGACGGATTTTGCGAAGCGTTGCGATTCGCCGTCAATTGTCGACGTATTTTTTTTAATTCACCATCAGGGGACCATGTGCTTCGCATGCGCGATGCGGGATCTCTGGTGCCATTCTCCCCCGACCATGCTCTAACATTTTTTTTCACGCCGGGAGGTGCTCGTTGGGATTGTTCCCATGTGTAAGGTCGAACCAAAGTAATTTTTGATTTTGTAGGGTACGCTTGTCAAGGATCCTGTTTGCTGCGGTGACGTCCTGTGAAGGCTAACATGCAAGGTGGATACTGTCGGTGGCATTGCAGTCTCGTTCCACGTGACGGTATACAGTAGTTTGGGTCGTGTGCGCCGTCGGCCTAGAGCAAAGCCGAGGGCTTAACGTTTTATTTGCACGACCGTAGTATTTTTGTCGCCACTGTCCTGTCAGTTTTCTGCGTTGTCATGTCGACCGTGAAAGACCTTTGGTCGCCGTAACCAACAGCGACCGGACTCGCGAAAAGCGTCCCGAAGGGCCTGGGTTGGGCGTGAGCTGGTTGTTTTGCCTTGTATCTTGGTGTCTTTATCGATGTCGTCGTTACGCGTCGTCTCTAAGCTCCATTCATGGCGGGGTGGGGGGCTATAATCAATCGCCCCTTGCGTGTTGTGTGCCATGCGTACCATAGGTGGGTGTTTCGGTGTTCCTGTTTTGGGCCATCTATAGTGTCTTGGTTACCCTATTCCAAAACAAGTAGCCGTCTAGGTGACCCTAATCGTTCGGGGAGGTGACACATGCACGTGCTGAACGAAGAGTGCGTGAGCGTGGACTGATTGCTGTGGTAACTTCGGTAAAATAATATTGGGAAAGACGGGGGCAGGGGGTCATCAAGAATTTGCCCTCTGCACTGCTGTGATATGGATGTTTGGAGGCGACGTGTGTCCATCACCGCTTGGCTTGTTTTAGTTCAGGCGGCGGTCGTACGATGTAACCCGGCGTTTTGGTATTGATTTTCGTGGGTGCCATACTTTGGGGGTTTGTTGGTGTTGAAGTCATTCGTTGGCAAGAGCCCAATGTATACACTACATCCCGCGAGGTGGGTTGGCTGGCCTGGTTGGCAAGAAAACACAAGACGGTCGACGCTCTCACGGCTTGGCAAAAAAAGTGGTGCGCAGGAGATACGTTTTTACTACTAGCTCGTACAACCAACCGTGTTTTTCACCACGCGGTCCTTTCGCCTAGATTTTGCTTGGGCTCAGTATCTGCGTTGAGCAATATGGATTATTTTTATATATTTGCCTTTTGGGGGCCTCTTGTGTTCATCAACCAAAAGAAGAGACGCTACAAAATCGTTTTGGATCTTATGCTAGTGGGATTTTCCGGACCTACCTTGTGATTTTCATCTGTGTTCCTGCAGAGTGAGTAGGGTAGACGATTTTGCTTGCAAACGACTTACCGTGGAGTTCCTCGTCGATATCTTCGTCGTTGCAAACTTTTGGAAATGTTGCTCACTCTGTAGAATACGGTACAGGGGAGAATGCTTCTCATCTGCCAGGAAAAGGCTGCAATCCACGCCGACATTTATTTCTGGACGCAAGTAATAAGTACAGTAGAATTCTCACTGCATGCAAAAATGTTCGGCACACCTCCTTCGAGGACGCTGTATTGAAAGGAAGTCCTACATTACATAGTCTATTCTAGTGGTGTAGTGCATTTATGTCCCGAAAAACGACCACATTCAAACGGTACATTATCATTACCGTCTGGTACGTCATTGGTACGTCATAAAGAATGTCATTCGTTACACATGCCATGTGCGGTACAAAAATATCTTGGTCCTACAGTACCACTCTTCTCAGCAACTGAACTGAGTTCATCATGCAGTAACATCCGTATTGGTCGCGGGGCTCACTACTGCTGTACTACAGAGATCGATTGTGGCGTTCAGCAGCAGCAAATTCCATGATTCACCGAACGAACCACGAACAATCGGGCGAAAGGAACAGTACGAACTATGGAACTCGAGACCTATGGAAGATGACATATATTCTGTATAGTGAGGCCTCTCATATATAGACTATATGTCATCTTCCATAGTCCATAGGCATTAGAAAACAACAACAGCTCGCGACGAAAGAACCACGGAACTGTCAAAGGAATATGAAACTGCTGGGGGGTACACGTTCTCTCGCGCGTGCCCCCTCATTTTTTTGAAATCGGCCTCTCTGTCTCCTTTTGGCTCACAGGCACACGGGGTACACGACACACGACAACAGCTAGCTGTCACATCATCGCATCGACAGCTTGGTGTAACCAAATACACCGATCGAGAGAAAGCGAGAAGAGAGCGAGGCAAAGGGTTCAACAAGATCGTGCGCCAAAGGTGAAGCTTATCCTCCGCTGTAAAACAGACGTTCGTGAAAAAATGGGAGCCCGTGGCATCAGCCTACACCTCTCTCAGTACGGACCTTGCGGATGTGTTTCAAGTCGGCCGCAGAGGGTGTGAAGCTGCACTTGTATGCCCTTGATAACTTGTGGAGTAGAGGAGAAGGTTGGCTATCTTTTACACCCCCAAAATATTTGCTCCTTTTTAGCTTTCGAGCTGTTTCGCGGCCTCCACACGTCCAGAGAATGAGCCGAGACAAACCCTGAAGACTAGAAGGAAAACAACCGCCGTGGACACCTCGGCTCCCCATTTTTTGTGGACTAAAGAGCTAATGTGAGAAACAACAACAACAAGAAACAAACAACCTCGGGCGAACATAAATGTCGTTTACCGGTTTGGGTCGAGGCTGTTGCCATCATCACAGAGCGTCGAGGAAACCGAACAACTCGGAGAAACCTGTGACGATGCATAGAACATATGCAAATGGCCTGTTCGGCCCCACCGACGCCCCCCCCCCCCCCCCCCCCCCCCCCCCCCCCCCCCGACCTGCTGTGCACGTTTTTTTTTAAGTCTACATCTGCTGTAGACTTGCAAGGATTTCCAACAGCAGTTCAGTGACTTAGGACAAGAAAACAATATCAAACAAGTTGTAGCAACAAGCATTTATTTTCGTGATGTTTTCCGAGATTTGCTTGTTCCAAATTCCAATACTTGTAGGGTACCACAATTAGCACACCCCACAAATCACCACCATCCCAACACCTTGTTATGCATTCACCTTCCCAGCAATAACGTATAGAGAGATGCACAAGACGGCTCACCAAACTGTCTCGTTGAGCCTGCTCTACCCACAGTGGAGATATCGCTGTGCAAATATGCTGCTGGCGAAATGGTAGAAATACAGGTAGCTTCCGCTGACGCTTGGATCCATTGCTATGTAATGCAATTGCTAATCTATCTTGGACTCTTTTCTGGATAGGGATGGATTCGTCGTGTGATATGCATACTTCGTTTTATAATTAATAAAAAAACAGCAGCATGCGATGAGCACGCGAGATGATACCCAACGACAACGTTATTCTCTAGTCCAAACACTCTATAAGTGCAGAGTGTCTGCATTTGTGTCCGACTGCTGCTTAAGCAGTCTGCCTACGCGAAGTTTTCTTAATAACAAAGAGACCAGACAAGGGGCACGCAGAATTTGCGTAGAGGATGGGCCAGCCTTGCACCTACAGCAACACCGGAACAGCGCGAGCGGACAGAGCAGTCGTTTGTAGTACTCGGGTTGCAATAATTTACTTAGCATTCGATTGGGGCTCTGTACACCAGTCTCCGATGATTGTTTTTCATAGGGAATTTGTGTAAGGCGGGTGTTGCGTTTACTGATTTTGATTTGGTGCTTAAATTTTTTGTCTTGGTTTGGAGCAGGACACTAAGGTACCACAAAGAGGACGAGCACGACTACTATATGCCACCTCTGGAGGAGTTGAATCTGATCGTTTGGTTCCAGTTCCTGCAGAGTTTTCTACGGGGGCAAATCGCAATGCTACAGAAGTAAGCCTGCGCGGTTGTTGGACCGGCCGGCCGGTGTGCTTTTGTTCTCTTTTGGGCTGGTTCGGCCGGCGGGTCCTCACACACGCGCTCCCCCGATATCGCTGCTACTATTGCCCGTCTCCACAATCGCCCATCAGACATCTTCACGCAGAGAAGGGACCGATAACCAAGGAAGCAAGGGGGAATATCAAGAGGACCAAGAGGGCCAAGAGCTGCAGCGCCAAGGCGCAAGGAATCGAACCACTACTGGTCCTGGCGTCAGATGGTGTAATCGGAGACACCGGACGATCGTCACCACGACCGGAAAGTGCTCGATCATGGCAACCTGCTTGAACAGCGGGGCCGGAGCGACAACGGCAAGCGCGGTCGCACGCAGCGGCGGCGGGATCTTGTCGAAGGGCGTCGGAGGACCATTAGCATCGGTGGCTAAAACGCTGGTGGGTGCCGGTATCAATGGCAACGATGGCAGCAGCAGAGGCAGGTGTGGCATCGGGGAGGGTGGCGCCAGCGCCAGCCGGGAGAACACGGTCGGCTTGCCAAAGGCGCGTACGACGAATGGTGCTTGCAGCCGGCGAGGGCAGGGTGGGATGAACACACCGCCGGAGCAGCGGCAAGGGCATCTTCCTCCGTCCCCGCTTGGCGGTGTCGACAAGGCTAGCTCGGCAAACGGGAGTTCGACGATACACCAAACGCCGCCGCCACAGTGCACAATGAGTTCGACCGCGGACAGAGCGAGCTCGACAGGGGTAGGGGGCGATAGGAGGGAGGAGAGTGTCAATGCCGCCGGCGAGGCGGAGCCAGGCCCTAGGGCATGTGAGACCACGCAAGAGCTACCTCGACTCCCACGACCGCCGCCGCCGCTGGATGCGGTAACGCCATCGTCGTCGTCGTCGTCGTCGTCATCGTCGTCGTCGTCTCTGAAGCCGGCAGGTGGTGGTCGCTCCTCAACCGAACCTCTCAACCAAGCCGAAACGCATCAAGCGGCGGATCGAGAG